ACTGAGAAGTTCTTTTGGCCTCCAGTAGACGACATCGACACCATTGTTTTTGAAAACATTGAAATGTTCTTGCCAAATCCCCTAGAAGACCGCCGCGGCAGTATGTTTTCATTTGCAGTGAATTTTGCAGGTCTTAATGCATGTTAAACAGAAGTTTGAGCATATTATAAGTCTAATACTATTAGTTTTTTATCTAATGACTTTGAGTAAGCGTACCTATTTTGAGTTTTTGATATGCTTCTTTATGTCTTAACATTTTGATAATAAAATGTCCGCTGGTAACTAGTTGTTTTGTCTACGCGGAGCAAGTTCGAATTTTTAAGGTATGAGGGCAGAATATTTTTGTGGCTTTATTTAAAAATTTTGACGGGGAATTTAATATAGGGAAAGTTCGGATTCGATCTAGCCCCGCGCCGCTTTCTATTATATTCATATGGAGTTGTTTAAATGCATCCAGTCTTGCCCCTTAACATGGGGTAAGTCCGAATCCAGAACATCAGCAGCTTTTAAGGTTCCTGTAAATTACTATGGTGTTCTAAACATATAGCGATACTTGAAATGCGTGCGATCTTACCCCAACTTACCTTAACAACAACGGTAATATGCTCTTCTGTCGACCTCTTGTGTCTACCCAAAAAACTCCCAAGCCCTCGCGTCAGCAACGCTTGTCACAAAAACCTCATCTCAGCGTTTTTCAACTATCCCAAGCGTATGATCATCGGCAGGATGCAATATATTCATTTGTTTAGTCTAGCCCAACTTGAAAATGACCAAAACGACGCTCGAAGGTTCGACAGTCATAATGTAGTTCAAGCGCTTTTTCAACTGGCAAAATATCGACACCGAAGAAACGGGTGCTCGACCTCGATCTCTATGAATGAAATAATATTTTATGTTACTATCGCAATGACAGTTATTACACATATTACTTGTACAAAATAATTTCGATGTTTCATATCTGTCAGGCGTCCAGTGACGGCTCACTTTTTTATATCTCCTTAATTATTTGTGGTTGATAAAATACTGGCACTTTTTGCGGCAAATAATTTATTTTAATAAATAATTTGATACAATATTTACAAAAACCCATTTCCAGCAACGACTGCAGGAATGTACCCCACTACACCTTCTTTAGTCTTTACATAAAACCATCCTTTTATATTAGCATCAAGTAAGAAAACAACTTCTCCCTTTTTCACTGTCATGTTGTTCTCTCCAGAACCCTTAAAATCAGTCGTTATCACCAGAAGAGTCTGTCTAATTCCTTTTCCCCTTGCAATAGCTGCTGCCCTCAGGTAAAGCCTATCAACACTCTTTTCTCCACAAGCACTAGCAGCATTTCTGGACCTGGAAAATCAAGAAACTATGATAATCATCATCAATGAATAAACTCATCTGAAAAGGTATTAGAAATATTTCTTTGGGACTGAAACGGAAGATACTGATAAAAATCTACATTGACAAAATTCAATTTTTCATTCATAAAATTATCCCATAGTAGACATTATTCTGAAAATTGTATTATTCTTCTTAAACTTAAAATCTGAAACTTAACAAAGGACAGGTCTAGGTCTGAGTTTTTTGGAACCACTTGTGATCATGGACGAATAAAGTATATTTGGTACGACAAAATTTAAAAAAGAATTAAAATATTGCTGGATGAATAAAAATAATAATAATATATGAAAGTATGAAAATTCATATTTAAAATAACAACAATCAAGATACATATCATCTTTTCAGATAATTAGCTCAAAAGATACTCGAGGTCCATATTAGATATGAAAAAAATTCTAAGATTCTATATCTGTAACAAGGCTGGTGAAATTTCTTGTCACATTTGTGAAAAAAAATCCTTCCAAAGAGGTTTGAACTTTCATTTCGGAACAATAAAAAAATACTTTTGTTAGAATCTTCATGAGATTCCATAATAATTGTCATTTAGGAAAATTCTACTTCATTTCAGAAAGATATGAAGAAAGAATGGTAGATGAAAGAAGATATAGATGCTTCATGATTTTTCTATGAAAAACTTCCTATAAATATACATGTTCATGCATATGTTACGGGCAACGTGATTAACTGGGCATTATTAATAAGGACCGGCCATTATTAATAATGCCCAAGAGCGATAGGCTCATTAATTTATCACTTTGACCGGCCATTATCAATAATGCCCGACGGCCCGTGGTCCATATAATAAGTCAGTGTTTGAGATAGCTTGAATTCATCACTTGGACCGGGCAGTATGAATAATTCTCTACTTGTAGCCGGGCAATGTGATAAATTGGACCGCGGCCGTGGCTTGCAACATGCAAGGGGCGCGTACGTGCGCATGTTGCATTGAGTACGTTCATCTTGCAAAATGGCGGCATCCATGGATATGATGGATATGAGAAGACGTTTTAACGAAGAAATTCATAAACTGAAATTACAGAAGGGGAAAAACACGCAGTTATTTTCTCTCGATGACTATTATTCATTTTTAACCAAAGTGCAAGTGACAAAAGACAAAATCGCAGGCAAAACTCCGGAGGAATATCAGCGGTTGTCGAGGTATGGCAGTGAAGATCGGAACAGTTCAAAAATCAATCGTACCAGTGAAAAATGACAGAGAACCAATTCAATATTACTGTTATTTGGATTGAACGTTTGATATCATTCACGAAACTCACATTTCTATCGGGCATGGAGGTAGAAATAGGATAATGAAAGAGCTCAAACCGAAGTACAAAAATATTACTAAAGAGTTTGTGGCGTTGTATTTGGCTTTGTGTGAACCATGTCAAAAAAAATTGAGTGTTCCAAAAAATGGGCTAGTGGTTAAGCCTATAAAAAGTAGTGAATTTAACTCACAATGCTAAGTCGACTTGATCGACATGCAAACACAAGCAGACAATGATTTTAAGTTCATCATGGTATATCAAGACCACCTCACCAAGTTTGTGATTCTTAGACCATTAAACGAGCCGAAGAAGTCGAATATCATTTATGGATATCTTCACAATATTTGGAGCTCCATGCATTTTGCACACTGATAATGACAGGGAATTCGTAAGTAAAGTTATTGTCGAACTATGCCAAATGTGGGAAGAACCCAAAATTGTACACGGCAAACCCCGTCATAGCCAATCTTAAGGTTCAGTAGAAAGAGCAAATCAGGATATAGAAAAGATTGTATTTACATAGTTGGAGGTAAATGAAACCACAAAATGGTCGGAAGGGATAAGTTCATGAAAGCAACAGCTTTCACAAGTAATAATAACTCAGGTAGAACCCTGTTTAATGCACATAAAATTATCCCATAGTAGACATTATTCTGAAAATTGTATTATTCTTCTTGAACTTAAGATTTGACATTTCTCTAAGTCTAGGTCTAGGTCTGAGTTTTTTGGAACCACTTGTGATCATGGACGAATAAAGTATATTTGGTACGACAAAATTTAAAAAAGAATTAAAATATTGCTGGATGAATAAAAATAATAATAATATATGAAAGTATGAAAATTCATATTTACAATAACAACAATCAAGATACATATCATCTTTTCAGATAATTAGCTCAAAAGATACTCGAGATATAGGTCCATATTAGATATGAAAAAAATTCTGAGATTCTATACCTGTAACAAGGCTGGTGAAATTTCCTGTCACATTTGAGAAAAAAAATCCTCCCAAAGAGGTTTGAACTTTCATTTCGGAACAATAAAAAAATACTTTTGTTAGAATCTTCATGAGATTGCATAATTGTCATTTAGGAAAATTCTACTTCATTTCAGAAAGTTATGAAGGAAGAATGGTAGATGAAGGAAGATCTAGAGGCTTCATGATTTTTCTATGAAAAACTTCCTATAAATATACATGTTCATATGTTCATACATACATGTTACAGAGACAAAATCGCAAAAAAATAATTATTCGAAAAAATTACCATAATTGACGATGACTTCAGTGACAAAATATATTCCTAGAATATCACTTTCTCCAATTCTTTCGAGGACCTATTTACTTTTAATATTAATATCTACAATTCATCAAATTCCTCAAACAGTACATAACGAATTTTCCACGTTATAAGCATCGTTTTTAGCAGAGTGCGAATTTCCAGACTTTCGAAAGCACACAAGAATCGAAGTGTCATGTACCAATCTCATCATCGGACAGTTTGCATTTATTCTTCGGTCATTATCCAAGTGTGTATGTGAATAGATATGTGCTGCATGTTCTTTGAAACGAGTTTTAATGGATCGCTCAGTCTGACCGATATATGTCTTTAGGGTTACCTAATATTTGTTGGTGTGAGCAAAATATTTTGAAGGCTACTTTCACGTTCAACTTTTTGAAGATAGGATCGAAATAGGGAAGGACAATGAACTTTGAATTTACGTCTTTTTGAAAAGTCAAAGATACACGAAGATTTTCTTCAAATTTGCGTTTCCTAATTAACTCATCTACAATATTCGGAGAATACCTGTTGCTTTCGTTAATAACATTTGTGTATCGCACTTTGTTTCCCGCAATTTCTCGCAAATTTGATGGGTATGGAAAAGTGAAAATGTACCTTGTTAGATATAAATAGAGAGTTTTTGAATAAGGAATTAGTTTTCTTCATCTCCTGAAGACGCCATCTTGATTGGTGAAACGCGCCTTGAAAAGAATATTGCATTTCTGGCGATTAGGAAAAGTGCTTGTTTTGCACTTATTGTATGTCGAGAGGTTTCACTTTTACCTTTTATTATCAAAACCCATTATTATAAAAACTACCGTGAAGGGCCGTCAATAAGGAAAATAAAATATTCTTTCGAAGTTGATCAATACTACTTCACAATCAGCGGAGAAAAATAGTTCGTGTGGTGATTGATGCCACGAATAAATCCTGTAAAGTCTTTGTTAGCACTTCTGTGATAGATTTTCAACAGAAAACAACGATTATTTTAAAGACGAGTATCCAATGAAGATCACTATACAATATTAAGAAATAATGTAACATGATCCGAACATAACATGCAAGGAAATCGGACTGTCTAAACAAAAACGACACTTTTGGCCCAGATTGCACTATAGTCAAAGTTCTTGAGAACCAACAAATGATCAAGATTGAAACAAAATTTGAAATATTTTCTCGCCTCACCTTTACTTGAAATGTATTGAAAAATACCAAATAACAACATTTTCAATGTGACTACAATTGTTATGCTCATTTCAGTCGACTCCCCTTGAAGAATTTATTATTCCTGAAGCTTATCCAGGATATTGATACAATGATGAAATCTCATCTCAAAGAGATTCTGGGGTTATCTTCGGAAATTTCGGATAGTTCTACATTCTTCCTACGATATTGACGAGACACCGGTGTTGCCTTATACCTCGGGGAATATTGAATCCGTTGTGGAAAATGAGAGTTATTGAATCTATTCGAATTACTCACTACCAACACTCTGGCAGATACGATCTAATATGCCTGTTATAGTCCTCCCCGACCATCAAAGTGAGACGATATTCGTCATGGTGTTTCTGCTTCAAGTAAAGCGAATATCGTCCGACAAAAGGAAAAAAATCGGATTGAATGTCGAGATTTACACTTTGAACTCCGCAGACTCTACCCAGACCACTCTGTTACGATTGATGCTCTGATTGTAGGTGTCCTACGTGAAATGATGTTACATTACTCTCTAATCTCAGGAGAAAACCGGCTTCCCGGCATCTCACTATTGCCATTATCCGTTGCACCCAGAAATAATTATAAAAACTACCGTGGAGGGCCGTCAATAAGGAAAATAAAATATTCCTTCGAAGTTAATCAATACTACTTCACAGTCAGCGGAGAAAAATAGTTCTTGTGATGATTGATGCCACGAATAAATCCTTTATTTGAAAGACGAGTATCCAGTGAAACTAACTATACAATATTGAAAAATAAGGTAAATATGTAATATTATCCGAACATAACATGCAAGGAAATCGGACTGTCTAAACAAAAACGACACTTTTGGTCCAGATTGCATTATAGTCAAAGTTCTTGAGAACCAACGAATGATCAACATTTACTTGAATGTAATGAAAAATTCCAAATACCAACATTTTCAATGTGACTATAATTGTTATGCTCATTTCAGTCGACTCCCCTTGAAGAATTTATTATTCCTGAAGTTTATCCAGGATATTGATACAATGATGAAATCTCATCTCAAGGAGATTCTGGGGTTATCTTCGGAAATTTCGGATAGTTCTACATTCTTCCTACGATGTTGACGAGACTCCGGTGTTGCCTTATACCTAGGGGAATATTGAATCCGTTGTGGAAAATGAGAGTTATTGAATCTATTCGAATTACTCATTACCCACAC